GACATTACAAGTAAGCCCTATCAAAACCAGTAGGATTGACTCAGATTGACTTGTCTTTTTCATTGATTGTTTTCTTTTACAAAAGGCTAAAAGGTATGAAATTTTAGTCACGGCATCTTGGGGTGCTTAGGAAGAATTTAGCAATCATTATGAATGGAAAAAACAAACAAAACAACAACATTATTCCATAGTTTTCAGTACTTTCAATTCTGAATCTGAATGAAGAGACTTCTTACTTCTGTGTTAAATGGTGTCAGCCACTCCAAGATATAAGACTGGGTATCATTAAGTGAAGAATTGATTCCTTACACTAAACTCATCAGGACTAGTACACACAAACTTTAGCATGATGACTTAAAATGCCTGTAATAAAAAATACAGGATTTCCCATCAGCCCAATATCTTTTCCTAGTTATTCTGTATCGCCTGCTGGTGTCTGGTTGGATTTGCTGTATGTCACTAACAACTGCGCCTTGTGGCTCAGAACAAGTAGGCAATCCACCTAGACGCATACATGCATTCTTGCACAGCTAGGTGAAACATCTTGTACAACTTAAACAAAATTTAAGTTCAATACCAGAGGTTGGTTCAGAAATGGCATTAGTAAAACTCATTTAAGTATCAGATATGATAAAATTGTGGTAACAAATGCTTAATACTCCTGTTATAAATCTAAGGAACAGTTGTAGACAAGAAAAAATGGCAGAGCTATGAATTTTTTAAACGAAGTGCTGTGTAAATTATGCCTTAACAAGGTGCAAATTCTTTAGCAGACCAAGCAGGGAGTTCTTTTTAAAGCATGGATCAACCCGATTGTTTTTAACATGCTCTGAGAACAGAAAGAAGTCAAGAAAGCTTGTACAGATCAGAATCACACACTTATTCATATCAAACATATACATACATACGTCACTTCATGAAATATCCTTAAAGGCTTTCGGTGTATCTTGATTTGTTTTTCAGTCTGTTTTAAGGGACATTTTCCCTAGAGGGAAGCTGAGTCCCTGTTGAAGTAATGAAAAAAGCACAAACTGGGCGTTTTTAAAAATGTATGAGCTGCAAATTTGATGAATGATGAAATCTTGTACTGAAACTTGATCATATCATTTTGAAGAGAATGCATGAAAATATCATCCCCAGCAACTGGAAACAAGAAAAATCAAGTCAGTTGGTCACATCAGTTGTATTGGCAAAAAATACTTGAATTAGTTTTGTTCTATTTTTCTAACTACTTTTGCTGATCATCAAATGAACTATCATCAGATAAGTGCAATTGAATGAAAATATGTGGTTTTATTCTTATAGTAGCAAGCACTCTACTCCAAAATGCACACTGCAAACGTGCTCTGAGATGTAAGCTCATCAAAAACAACACTTAAAATGTATCACCAAAACTTGTGCATTTAAAAATCAGAGCGTGGCAGGGTACAAAATAAGAAAGGAAATCTCAAAGTAGAGAAAAATTTTAAATTATGGCAAATTACGATTGTAAAGGAACCCTCTTCATGTATCTAAACTGCATGTCACAAGTCCAATTCATTGCCAATTATTTAAATGATTAAAATGTCGAATGACTCAAAGAAAATCTAAGACGTTTTTTATTCTCTTCCCCTATAGGTTTTTTCTTTCCTATGATATTACCATGATACAAGCTACAATTATGCCTGCTGTCCCAATGGTTCCAGCATGATCTCTTGCAGCTGTCACAACTAACTCCAGGCAGCCTGTCTTGTATGCTTTATTAACGTCACAGTCTTCTTGCTGAAAAACACCAATAATCACAGTATTTCAGTAACCGATTACAAACTGTAGGAGAATCTTTTTAACCAGCGCCCTGTACCGTACCCAGCAAGGAGTGCCAAATAAACACAACTGGTGCATTTACTACATTATTTCTGGTTATTTATGGTGTTAGTACACATTAAATCTACTACAAATCATGGGAATCATAAACAACTGCTTGCAAGTGATATAGCTGCAGCACAAACACAACTTGTGATCGTCTTGGGCTGTAAGTTTACCATTAATGAGGACACACCAATTCCTGCCCCTGCGAGCACATTTGTATTGTCCGAAATGAGACCTTGTAAAGTAGTTAGGCACCCCATAGTGTAGATATTACTGGGAATGGGCGACGACTGGCAGGGATTCTTCTGGAACCATACAAACTCCCTTAAAGCAAATGATCTTTTTCCTTTTCTTCCCAGTCAAGAAATAATTTGTAGCAAAGCAAAATTTGGTCGACATACTAGTGAAACCAGATTTGCATCTTAGGTACATTTCAATTTGAACTCAGAAAAATGTGTCCACCATGGGACACAATGGCCCAGGTAGCAGAGCCGCGTCTTGAAAGCGCACTTTTGGCGCATTGATGCGCCTAAAATGCGCAAGAAATGCGCAACAAATGCAGGCCTTGCTACCTGGGGGAGCCAGACGTGGAGTCGAATTGGTTGCCTACCTGGCTGGTGTCGACAGAAGCACTCTTCCAGTGCCTCCAGAAGGGCTGGCTCATGCGGGCTCTTCGCTGTTGGCGCGGTAGGCAAGGGATCCCGCGACAGCCCGCAACCACGAATTGCAGGAGCCCAGCCCAGCCCAGCCTGTTGCCGAACGAAAGAGCCCGCAAAGAGCCCGCACGGCTGCGCTCAGCCCGCTCGAACTCTTTCGGCACAACCAGCGGCATCAGCCCGGGCCCTTGGCCGAGGCGGGGTGGGCCGGCGCCGGCGGGCGCGGGCAGTCCCCCGTCAGCCCGCAATAGACCATTCCGCTAAGCCGAAAAAGAAGAAGAGAAGGAAGAAGCAAATATATTTTTTGGGCCTCAATGGACCTTCTAACACAGCATTTTGCAACTCTTACATGTTCAAAATGATTTTATAGAGCAAATGTGATATTTTTAAGACAACGAATCACTCACAAATCTGCCCTATCAGCCCTAAACGATACCTTTGCTTCTTCCTTCTCTTCTTCTCTTTCGGCTGAGCGGAATGGTCTATACAAGCGCGCGGGCTGGCGGCGGCTGACCGGGCTGGCGCGGGCTCCAGCGGGCTCTTTTCGGCAGCACAGCCTCCGCCGGATGGGCCGCGCCACACGAATTCACATATGCCAAAGCCGGCTTCGGGAGGAACACCCGAACACAGCCGCTCGCTGAACGCGTCGCAGCGGGCTGTTGCGGGCTCCTTTCGCTTCTCGGCCAACAGCGAAGAGCCCGCATGAGCCAGTCCTTCTGGAGGCACTGAGCCAGCCCTTCTGGAGACACTGAGCCAGCCCTTCTGGAGGCACTGCACTCTTCTCAGTGCTGAAGCCACTGGCTGCTTGTACGCGACTCCCCCCCCCCCCCTTTTCCCCCCGTACGTTATAATCTCAGAACTCACCTTCCCTTCCGGGCCCATCTTACAGCAGCTGCTGGGGATTTGGCTCTTCCAA